ACTACTTTCTATATTATCCTAGGACCTTAGACCATTTAACTCCATTTACCTGTCTCACTTTTTGTTCATTTTCATTTCTCCATTTATATGACCCAAGTAATTTATCATGACTTAATTTTATAGAGCCAATGTTTATTTCAATTTACTCAAAATTTTATTTTTTTCCATTGTTCATTTCTTCCTGCATCTGGGATCGTGTTCCTGGAGTATGTCATTTAGTGCAGGCCTACTGTTGATGAATTCTCTAGGTTTATGTTTATCTAAAAATTGTCTTTATTTCACTTTCAATTGAAAGATAGTTTGCTTGCCTTAGAATTTTTGGTTGCCAATGATTTTCTTTCTGTTGATACAGCAGCTCTGTCTTTTTCCTGTACCTTTGAAGAGAATGTGTTTCAGCTTCTGTCTTCTCTTTGTCTATGGGCTTCAATGGTTTCTTTGTATTTATCATGATTGTTATTCAAAATACTTTTTAATCCATGGCTTGATAGCTTTCATCAGTTTTAGAAACTTCTTGGCCATCACCGCTTCAAATACTGCTTCTATCTCATTCTCTGTCTCTCATCATCATTTGAACTCCACATTAGCCTTTTTCACCATATCTCGTGGACAGAAAATATCTTACAAATAGAAAGCTGATATAGCTCTACTATGTTCCTTTCTGGGTTTGCTTCGCTTTTATGTCTCTTGGCTTTGGTCTGAACGTTTTTCCTTTTGACCTAACTTTAAGATCAGGAATTCTCTTTAGCCGTGTCTAATCTGCTATTAAATCTTGCTTCAGTTATCTGTTGCTGCCTGACAGACAACCCACGCCCAGATTTTGTGGTTTAAAACAACTGCCAGCATTTACCTGTACAGGATTCTGCACTTCGAGCAAGGCCCAGTGGGGATAGCGTGTCTCTGTGCCATGCGGTGTTGGCTGGGGTCGGAGGATCCGAGATGACTTCCCTGACATATCTAGCACCTTATTTAGGGGAATCAGAAGAGTTGGAGCCTGGCCGGGTCTTTCTCTGCCCCTGTGTCTGTCTCTGTCTCTGAAGTCTTTCATTCTCCAGGGCCTGTCTCTCTCCCTGTGCCCCTTCCTCCTCCATACCAGCCGGGGATTTAAAATTCTTTACATGGTGGGTCAGCGCTCCAAGATGGTGAAAACAGAAGATGCTATACTTCTTAACGCCTAGGCCTAGAACTAGCAAAACATCATTCTTCCCACATCTTTTACTACAGATAATAGCCTTTTAGATGGTTGAAGTTAAACACCCTAGCCTCCTGGGACTGCTGCAACACTACATCCGCTGTGGTTTGATCCCCTCATCATGCTCCTTGTCCTCCATGGCTCCTAGGCCTAGAACAGTGACAGACACATAACAGTACTCAACATATATTTGTTCAATAAACGAATGAAGGAAGGAACGCTGACTGTTGATCCAGTTCTCCCTTCGGCAGCAGACACACTCATATTGGAACAAAACTGGCCAAGATTACAAATTACTAGCCAAATTTGCAACCTCTTCACATTTTAATATCTTTTACATCTTAAATCACCTCCCCCCAAATACATAGTAACTCATTAAAATTCCCCAGTTTTCCCCTCAGCCTGCGACAGGACAGTGAAGAGGTAAGAATGAGAACCACCTCGATGAAAACGGCCTGTGGACTCCCTCAGGTACGATTCCCAGGACTTGAAATGATCCCCTTTCCCTCCTGGTAATGCTCAAGAGGTGTCTTCAGAGACCATCGACATGCGTCTGAGGTCATTACTGGACTGCTCTCTGCTTCTCGACTTGTGGCCTGGGTCCAGTGGCTGCTGTTACCCACCCTCACTCCAGCAATGCTGGCTGATCCCTCCCCTATCCCATCATGGCCCATATTGTTTTGACAGTGCGTTCTGCCAACCTAGAGCCGCCCCGATGCTCACACGGAGGCGGGAGTTCTGTCTCTCATACATAGGTAGTATATTACAATTCTTTTACTTGACTCTCAAGAGGGTGTCAATATCTTACAGCCCTTTCGAGGAGTGAGACCAGTCCCCCTGGGACTGGGACATCCGAGAGATACCTCTACTGGCAAAAGTAGTAGAAATAAACTCTGATGCCAAGTCCAGAGAGCTCCCTTCTGACGTGTGTGTGTGTGTGTGTGTGTGTGTGTGTGTGTAACACCAAATTTTCCTGACTCCCTTTCCACGATTTTCATCATTTCATTTTAACAACCGACATTTAACGAATAGTTACTACGTGCCAGGAACTGTTCGATGTGCTTTATATGTATCGTCTCATACATAGTTTCGAGTGGAGGAATAGATTTGGGGCGACTGGAGCAACATGGGATGGGTGAATTTGGGCTATAATATTTGGAGAAACTGTTAACGGTTTTGTTACGAAGCTGAGTCAAGATATGAAAGAGGAACGTGAAAGCAGGAGAGGTTCAGCTGAATGTGTGGGTGGGTGTGAGTGAGAAGACTGGCAAAGAATAGATCGAATAGCCGAGGACGGGCAGGGAGAAGTAATAGCTCGTAGGGATTTGAGGATGCTGAAGTAAAAACTGATCGAAGGACGTGGAAATTATCCTCATTTGTGAATCGAGTTCTTCCCCAATTTCAGAAGTAAAATTAATGCGTTTTATTTTGATACAGTAGTAGACCAGCTCTTGGGGCCACATTGGCTATAAAATGAAATCTATCAGACCCATTTACTGGTTTTTGTGGTATCTCTATAAAGGGTTACTTGTTATCTGTTAAATATTTGAATAGAGCATTGTTCTGGAAAAGCCACAGAAATAGTCCTTTGCATAAAAGCAGAGGAACCAGTCTCAAAGCTCTGTCTGCACCGAAGGCCACAGGGTAGCGCTTCATCCCCAGCAAAATTGTGATGACAAGGTGGTCGGCATCCAGCCTGGCTGCACAGACAGATGGGCTCTCAGCCAGGCACATTAGGAGATTCCTGATGACCAGACAGAGGGACCCTGTAAGGGGATTCCCATGTGCGTGTGTTATTAAGTCTCACTTGCTAGGGCATGAGAGGCAGGCCCATGACGTGCACCGAGCAGTCAGGCCAGGCTCAACTGAAAGCCTGAAACCAAAGCCTAGACTGGGAGAAATCTCCGCCTTCTCAAAATAACCAAACCCCATCAATTATCCCCTCTTTGGCCTCTGTCGTCAACCACTCTGCTGGCTCCTTCTCATGACAAGCTCAGATTTCTCCAGTCATTAAAAAACAGCCAGATCATCTGAGTGACTCTTCGTGCTTTCCTGCTCCTCCTCCTCCACTGTTGGGAAGGAACTGTCCACCCTTCCTGCCTCCACATTTTCACCTCTCATTCCCATCTGAAGCCACCGCTCTCTGGTTCTTCCCACCACCATTTCAGGAAGGCGGTTACCAGCGAGGTCGCCAGTGACTTCTCAAGCACTAGCTTCAGGGGACCCATTCCTTCCTTATCTTACCTGACCTTCCTGTGGCATGTATGTGGAAACATCCCTCCCTCTAGAAATTCTTTCCTCCTTTGATTCCTATAGCCCTACGGCCCTCTTCTTTTTCTGCCTGACCGTTCAATGTTGGTGTTACCTGGCTCCATCCTTTTCTCATTCTATACAGTCTCCTGGGAACCTCCCTCAGGGTTTCAGCCACTTGGATATTGATACCACTCAGACTCTATGTTCTGCCTTGACCACTTTGCCTAAGCTGTTTATTGAGATGTCGATGGGGCACCCAGAGAGACATTTCCACTGAACATGTCTCTCTGGGTGCCCCATCAACATCTCAATACACAAAACCACTCACGACCTCATCACCAAGTTGCCCATTCTTTGTGGATTTCCTCATGTTGCTGAGTGTCAAAACTAATCATCCCGTTGCTTAAGCCAGAAACCAGGGAATGGTTTTTGACTCTTCCTTCTTCCTATCTGCCACCAGATAAATAGGCAAGCCCTGTCTCAGCCCTTGTCGTCTCTCCTGGTGAGAACCCCCAACCTGAACCTCTCGCCCTCTCAAATCCATCTCCACACCGGCCACCAGAGCCATCTGTCTGAACCCAAGTCAAGATCATGTCCTTCCCCCGTTAAAGTCTTCCCATAGCTTCCAACTGATCTTTGCCCTCCCATTTCTCTCCTGTCTCCTAGTTCTACCCTATGTCCAGAGAGGCCAGACTATAGTGGGCAGCCAGGACTGTGGCAGTTAATCAGAGGGATCTGGGTTTGACATAAGAGAATACAGCAACCATACATAGGTTCAGAAGCAAGGCATGATTGCATGATGACGTGATGACAGGTACACATGGCAGGTTCTAGCAGTAGGAGACTCCTATAGACCGAATATTTGTGTCCTCCCAAAATTCATGTTAAATCCTAATACTCAATGTATTTGTAAGTGGGGCCTTTGGGAGGTGATTAGGTCATGAGTGGGATTAGTGCCCTTAAAGAGATCCTAGAGTTTCCCTCTCCTGCTCCCCTTCCCACCCCATGGGGGGAAAGACCGCTAAAAAGACTATTGTCTATGAACCCAGAAGCCAGCCCTCACCAGATGACAGAATTGCCCGTGCCTTGTTCTCGGATCTCCCAGCCTCCAGAAATGTGAGAAAAATTTCCATTGTTTATAAGTCACCCGGTCTGTGGTATTTCGTTATAGCAATCCAGAGGGACTGTGAAAGAGACAGCGGACCCAAATGTCAATTGTGCTAAGCCTATGTCACCAAACCGAGAATACCTAAGTTAATTACAATTTCAGCCTCTTCCAGGAATGAAATCTGGAATTACCTGGTCAGCACCAGCGAGGTAATCTATCTGACAGACCCCTGCACTTCCTCAAAACAACTGTGACCTTGCGGGAAACAATCTACTAGTAATTTCCTTGTCCCGCCCCCTTCCACCTGTAAGTCTTGCACTGTGTACAGCCCCTCGGAGGTCCTTTCCCATCTGGTAGATGGGATGCTGCGCGTGCACCAAGCATTGGAAAAAGCCAATAAGATCTTTAAAATGTACTCAGTTAACTTTTGTTTTCTAACAGGACTAAGCCATGGGCTACTGCACTGAGGCCAAAGGACCTAGACCAGTCTTCCGCAGTGAGAAAAGAAGAAAAGGTGAACCTGTTGGACTGGTGAGGAAGGGTAAATATCTGCAGAGGAAGATCCCCAGGTCAGATAGTAAGGAGGTGCATTAGTAGGTGACGTCAAGGACTGTTAACAAAGCTAACGGTCCACAGGAAGTCAAGGGACTTTGAAGCCCCATTATTGGAAGTCCAGCATCAAGGGACAAGAGCAGGGGCGCAAGCGTGGGCGGGCGCGCGTGCGTGCACACACGCACACACACACACACACACACACACTTCTACAAGACAAGTGAGGAAGGCAGGTGTAGGAGAAACTGTGGCTTCTATAAAAGGGGGAGAGGGCAGGAAAACCTGCAAGAGGGGGCAGACAAAAAACGAGGAGCACTGTCCTTGTGACAAGATGAAGGCCACAGAGTCAGCTGACCTAAAGGCGCGCTTCGGGATGATGAAAGAGGCAGCATTCGTTCATTGGGCAGATTCAGAAACACCTTGTCCCAAGGGTTGCCAGGACTGGAAAAAAGTGACTTGCCAGAGTAAGTCCCTTTCCCCAAACTAGCGGCCTGTAAGACCCACGCGTGAAGACGCACGACCACGAGTGCACTTTGCAGTCTCGCAGAGCCCCCCTTCGCCTCTCGACAGGGCCATGAGGCAGACCCGGTGACCCTCGTTCAACAGCTTGCCCGGGGCGGGTCACCCTGCATTGTCAAGGGCAGCCCCGGGGCGAGAACCCCCACAAGGTCGCCGGCTCCAGAGCGGTGCCCTTCCCGCGGCCGGATGGTCCCCCGGGCCTGCAGCGCCCCCGTGCCC